GCGGAATGGTTACAAACTTCGACGCCTTACAAGCTATAAATAAGGCCTTGTAGTCTGGTGGTGTGTCCAAGAAAAGGGACGTAGGGGCCGTAATAGTTGCATAGAGGACCAAATCTCCCCTCAAATACCAAACTTACCCAACACCTCCAGTCATATATCAGCCAACCCCAAATTACCAAGCACCTTCACCCTCATACCAAGCTCCACCACCCACTTATCAATCACCTCCACCTCCTACATATCAACCTACTTCACCTAGATATTCCCAACCCGCCCATGTCTACCAAACCTATAATCTCAACCATCCCACTATCATTCACCCCATGCATGCCAAAACTTCCCTAGACCCTGACCTAATTTTGATCGCAGACCTCCAAAGTAATATACAACCATTGCTGAACCCATTGACCAATTGTACGAGAGACTCAAAGCTGCTGGTTATGTCACCCCTATCCCTGCTGCAACCCCTGAGAACCCTTCTTAGTGGGTTAACCCAAACAAATCCTATGCATACCACTCCGGCATGAAAAAGCACACTATTGACGAATGTCGTTCCTTGAAAGATAAGATCCAGACTTTATTTGATAACAAGATTATTGTGGCAAAGGAACCCGCTCCAAATGTCCGCAACAACCCTCTGCCAGACCATAAGGGTGGAGGTATCCACATGATTGAAATAGAAGATGATTGAGATCCCGAGGAATCAATCGAGTTGATCGCAGAAGGTGATGACCAGAATAAGCCAATAGTTACTCTTAATCCAATCATAGTCCAGATTCAACCATCTAGAGGCGCTAAGGTAAATATGTCAGTGCCACTTGAATTTGAAGTGACATCATCTGCAAAGACACCAGCAACAATTGAGGTCAAATTCGTGTCTCCGGCAAATGCACCCACACCGTTTGAAGTTGCAGTTTTACCACCCAAGGCACATGCTCCGTTCAAAGTAAGGATAGCCACGCCGATCCTAGTGGCGATGTCGGCCATGACACCATTCCATACAAAGGTTATACCCTAGGACTATACAGCCGAGGCAAGGAGGAAAGACAAGGTTAGGTTCGAAGAGACTGTTGTAGCACAGGGTATGACAAGAACTGGTAGAGTCTACACCCCAGAACATCTAGCTAAGTCAAGAAATCATGCCTCCAATCGGCCACCCATTATTGAGACAGGTCCAACGATTTTTGGAGAAAGATACAGGCCAAGGAGTACTCGGTCATCGACAAGTTGAATAAAACACCGGTGCAAATCTCCATTCTTGCTGTGCTACAAAATTCTGAGGCACACAAGAATGCTCTGCTAAAGGTACTAAGTGAAGCATATGTGCCAAGTAACATCAATGGCGGGGAAATGGATAACATGGTAGGACAAGTGTTGAAGAGCCATAAGATCACCTTTCATGAGGACTAGCTGCCACCTGAAGGTTTGGGGCACAACAAGGCACTGAACATCACCGTGCAATGCGAGGACTATTTTATCACTAGAATCCTAATCGATGGAGGTTCCAGTCTCAACATTTTTCCACTGGTAACACTCAAGAAATTAGGTAAAGGACTGCACGAGATAAAAGATGGAGCAATCAATGTGAAAGTTTTTGATGGTTCTCAAAGGTCCACCATTGGTGAGATTAGCCTATGCCTGCAGATGGGACCAACATGGTTCGATATCGATTTCCAAGTGATAGACTTGCCAGCATCTTACAACGTGCTGTTGGGAAGACCATGGATTCATACTGCTGGGGCCGTAGTATCAACACTGCATCAGGTGGTAAAATCCGAATGGAATCACCAAGAGGTGATCATTCACGGTGACAGTAGCAACCCTATATACAATCGTCAGACCATTCTGGCAATCGAAGGAAGAAGGAAGCTGGGTGGAGAGACTCACCATCATATTGATCGAGTAAATGCTAATGACAAGGAAAAATAGTGGGATAACAAAATCGAGAGTATATTGAATTGGAGTGGGTATGAACCTGGCAAGGGGCTCGGCAAGAACCTCCAAGGAATTGCTAAGCCCATAAAACTCAAGAAGCATGACACTACTTTCGGTCTAGGATATGACTACACCTGGGAAGAATTCAACAACTGATCGCCACCATGGCGCGGTCCTTAGTATCCACTGGAGCAGCCAATACCGCATTTGGAGCAGATCTTCCAACAGACTGACATTGTTTATAGGTCAGACGAAGAAGAAGAACTAGCATTGGTGAAGAACTTGTTTTAGAAGATAATGACATGGACTGTTGTGTTGTTCTCGAGAGAAGGGGGAGGAAGGCCCTTCCATATAGACTGTGAGCAGAGGGGCACGCCTCAATAATTGGAGCATCAGGACAACCAGAGCCCGATGAGCCTCGGGGTAGCAACGCTAAAACAAGCATTATTCACTGTTTTAGTTACTAAATGATTTTCTTTCCGCATTTTCAATTCACGCAATAAGATCTTCGATATTCAAAACAGTTATGCAATTTATCAAAGAATTTTGGCTTTCCTTATGAATCAACACTCATTATTATTTTTCTCTCATTACTTTACTTATACAACATTACTGTTACTTATCTTGATGAACCAATGACTGTGATATGCAATGAGATAATGCAACAAAGGACATTGATTTAGAGGAAGATGATATACCAGATGAGATTGTCAAAGAAGTTGAGAACAAACCTAAGTCCAACCTGGACGAGACCGAAATTGTCAACCTGGAAGATACAGAAAACTTCAAGGAAACACGAATCAACATTCACCTATCGCCATCAAAGAATAAAGAGTATATAGAATTCCTAAAAGAGTATGAGGACATATTCGCATGGTCGTATGATGATATGACTGGTCTGAGTACGTCTATTATGGCTCATATACTGCCAACCGATCTAATGTCTTCACCGCTAAAGCAAAAGCTCAGAACGTTTAAGCTCGATATGAGTTTGAAAATCAAAAAAGAAGTCAACAAACAGATCAAAGCTAAGGTTCTTAGGGTAGTAGAATACCTGACATGGTTAGCCAATATTGTGCCAGTACCAAAGAAGGATGGGAAGGCCAAAGTCTGTGTCGACTACCGGGATCTCAACCGGGCCAGTCCGAAAGACGACTTCCCTTTGCCAAATATACACATCCTGATTGACAATTGCGCCAAGCATGAGATACATTCATTTGTAGATTGCTTCGTTATCATTAGATCTGGATGGATAGAGAATCATAGACATTAGCATGAGAAGTTATCATTTGCTCTTCTGGGGTATCGTACCATAGTCCGCACATCAACCGGGGCAACCCCCTATATGATAGTTTATGGTACAGAGGCTGCCATTCCCACTGAGGTAGAAATTCCTTCCCTAAGGATCATACAAGAAGCTGAGCTCGACGATACAGAATGGGTGAAAAGTTGTTATGAGCAACTAGCCCTTATCGACGGAAAGAGAATGAATGCAGTCTGCCATGGTCAACTCTATCAGAACAGAATGTCCAGAGCCTTCAACAAAAGAGTCAACCCGAGATAGTTCACACCGGGTAGCTGGTGTTAAAGAAAAGTTTTCCGCATCAAGACGAAGCCGAAGGGAAGTTCTCTCCCAATTGGCAGGGTTCATACATCGTCTATCGGGTTCTAACAGGAGGAGCCCTCATACTTGCAGAAATAGACGGAGAAGTCTGCCCAAAGCCAATCAATTCAGATGCAGTCAAGCGCTACTATGTGTAATCTTCATGCTTTCTTTATATGATGTAAATTGAACTACGCCTGACCTGATTCCCGTTTAAGAGGGGATATGCAGGCAGCCTTATTAGTTCGGTCACAATTCAATAAAATTTCATTTCCCCCCGCAATTGGAAACTAGGGCAGAATTTTGAGGAGGACCCTCAAAATTCCAAAGTAATTTCAGCCAATCGCTGCACGGACAGCAGTTAGAAGCGTCAACCCATCAAACTGGGGTAGAATTTTGAGGGGGACCCTCAAAATTCCGTAGCATGTAGAACTTGAATTAAAACCTGACCCTTCCTGGGGTCATATGCCTCATGCTATGTATTCCTAAACCCCTGACCCCTTTGTACAATTACTGATTTTGTGTAGTTCAAGTTTTACTACTACTGTTTTCAAATCACCCTTATCCCTTACTATTCTCACCCAGTTTTTAAATAAATCTCTATTTCTGCACTTCCACTATACTCTTAGAACCTAGGTTCTGCCCCTCTTGTGTGAGCCTTGCCTTGGGACCCTTGAGTTCCCTCTGAACTTAGACACATAAGGGCTGGCCCTTCCACACTGCACTTATCTCTATCTGGTTATGCAAAGCTGGGTGTAAGCACTGCCCGGGGTCCCTTGAGATCCTTAAGGAACTTTGACACACCCTGGTCTGAGAAAGGCTTTGAAACAAGTGGCATTTGAGGTGGTTTATTTCATATCAGAATCAGGCTTCCTATGGTTGTAACTTTTTATTTTGCACTTTTTTGTTGTAATTCAGTACTTGGTCTGTAATAATTTAGCAAATATTGGGGTTGGCTAGTGAAAGGGATGGGGTAACTATGCATATTTAGCTATTAGAAGGGTAGACATCATGCCTATAGGATCTGTTCTATTTTAATTCAAGTTCTACATGCTTCACTTCTTCTGTTTTGTTTAATTAGCAACTGCTACAACCTGTAGGCAAGCCTGATTCGGACTTCTTATCTGAGTTAAGTAATAAATTGGTCTGCTTCAGCAATTAAACTCCCCTGCCTTAGTACTTTAAATTCTGACCCTAAATATGTTAAGTCATGCTATTTATATGATTTACTTGAGAAGGTATATATGAGCCTTTTAGTTGTTTGTATGTTTCCCCTAATATGCAGTCCTATGTATTTTGAATGTCGCCTTAGTCTTTTACCTTTAAAAACTCAAGAGTCAACCTAAAATCCTCCCTCTTATGTAAAGATAAAAGTAATTAAGTGGCTCGATACAGGTATCATCTTTCCTTTCTCTGACAACAACTGGGTAATCCTAATGCAATGTGTGCCCAAAAAGGGGGGATGACTGTGGTAGAGAATGCAAAAAATGAGTTAATTCCTACTCGCACCATGACTAGGTGGAGAGTTTGCATTGATTATAGAAGGCTCAACAAAGCAACCCGCAAAGACCATTTCCCGCTTCCATTCATTGACCTAATGTTGGAAAGATTGGCAGGGCATGAATATTATTGCTTCCTTAATGGTTATTCGGGGTACAATAAGATTGTCATATGACCAAAGGATCAGAAGAAGACCACTTTTACTTGTCCATATGGCACTTTCGCCTTCAAGGGCATGGCATTTGGTCTTTGTAATGCACCAACCACTTTCCAGAGATGCATGATGACTATTTTTACCGATATGGTGGAAACATTTATGGAAGTCTTTATGAATGATTTTTCTATCTCTGGGTCTTCTTATGATGATTGTTTGAAGAATTTGAGTAAGGTGTTGGCCCGTTGTGAAGAAACAAATCTGGTATTGAATTGGAAAAATGCCACTTTATGGTGTAGGAAGGCATCGTGTTGGGTCACGGGGTGACTAGGAGCAGCATTGAAGTATATAAGGTGAAGGTGGAGGCGATTGAAAATTACCTCCACCTAATTCAGTGAAGGGTGTCCGGAGTTTCTTGGGACACATGAGATTCTATCAGCGCTTTATTAAGGATTTTTCTAAAATTGCTACTCGTTTGTCCAGGTTGCTTGAAAAGGATGTAACTTTCAATTTTGATGACACATGCCTGAAGGCATTTGAAGAGATAAAAAAGAAGATGGTGGCTACTCCCATTATTGCAGCACCAGATTGGTCCTTACCATTTGAACTTATGTGTGATGCAAGTGACCATGCTATTGGGGTAGTGCTAGGCCAGAGGAAAGACACGGTGTTTTATTCCATCTACTATGCGAGTAAGACTCTTGATGATGCATAACTGAATTACACCACCACTAAAAAGGAGTTGTTAGCTGTTGTGTGGGCCTTTGAAAAATTTTGGGCATACTTGGTGGGAACAAAGGTGATAGTCCATACCGATCATGCAACAATCATGTATCTATTCACAAAAAAGAATCTAAGGCTAGATTGATGTGCTGGGTTTTGTTGTTGTAGGAATTTGATGTATAAATATGAGATCGAAATGGCATTGAAAACCAAGTATCTAACCATCTATCAAGGTTGGAAAATCATGACCACGCGGAGGAGGATGGACAAATTAAAGAGGCATTTCCTAATGAGCAACCTTTTGCTATCACCTGTCACACCTCCTTTTTCACTACACCCCCAAAAGGGAGTATATAGGGAGTTTTTTCTAACTTAAAGTGACAATCGAAACGGGATTAATTATTTATCAGATTCAGAGTCGCCACTTGGGAGATTTATGATGTCCCAAGTCACCAGTTCAAATCCCGAATCGAGAAAAAGATTGACTCTGTTTAACAGTCCGTGAACCAGAAATCCGAGTATGGAATTCTGTTAACCCGGTAGAAGGTGTTAGGCATTCCCGAGTTTTGTGGTTCTAGCACGGTCGTTCAACTGTTATATTCATCTTAATTATCTGATTTTAAACAATTACGAATCTATGTGCAAATTTTAACATTAAACCGCTTTCAATTATTTTAAGGAAGATTTCAACGTCATCTAAATCACGTCTTTGGACCGCGCCACATGAAATGCACCCGCAGTCCGAGCCATGTTCTATTTAACGTTGTTAAGATTGGGACTTGGGTCACATGAAATGCACACCCGAGTTTAGGAAGGCAATTTTAACATAACGCGCCTAAAGCAACTACGCACTTTCAACTTTGCGAGGGCCATGGAAAATCAACTAAATGGCACGCCTCAATTTTATTAAAGGAAAGGCATTCAATTAAGTGAACTACGGATATTCATATTTAGAACTAAGTTGAAATGAAGTATCACAACTACGTCACGGGAACTGTACCAATAGCCATGACAATATATTTAATTAATCATGCCCACATTCAAACAATGAGTAAAAGGGGCTAGTGGTTCCAAATGATATTTAAGTAGTTCATTTTTATAATCTCACTAAATCGAAACCAAAAAAATTATTAGCACTAAATAACCATCACATAATAATGCTGGAATCGATTTTACCTAAAACAATTAACATAACAGATAGATTCTTTCTAATCACTAATCACAACGGAATATAGTACAACTGATAGCGTTGTCTCCATTTGTTGGCAATCAAAACTTTGTGTAGGAAGAGAGCAACAAGGTGAGGATTAATTATATTAGGAAATGTCACCTTCCATCCATGCCAACTACACTCTAATTTATTAGTTATTCACATACTATCTGAATGCTCTCATGACCCATATAAGCACACGTTGGTATAGATTTGCAGAACAAAATGTGAATTCCACTACTTTCTTATAATAACAAAAGAAATTCGAAACAAAGAACCAGATCAAACAAGCCTAAAATTAACACTGCAAATCACCACATTAAACATCAAAAGCACGAAAATAGGCAGAGACATTTTGTTGTCAAACTGTAACAAAGGATAAGAAAGCATGGACCTCAAATGAAGCATCTTACTTTACTAGTTTAAAACTCAACAATGAGCAGAACCGCGAACCAGCCTCGATAGGTGATAGACAGAATCAACTCGAGCTCGTTAGAGACCTTGTGTCGCTGTGTTCTGTTCTTGGTGTTTGGGCAGTGAAGAACGAGCAGTCACCCCTCACTTTTATACACCTGGTGTGTGTGTCGTGATGTTTTCCGGCAAATTCATCACTGGTTTGATGAGAGGAGAAGTTGAAGTGTCATTTGGGGTGGGGTGAAGAGAAAGGGGGTTGTTGTTTGTGAGATGAAGGAGAAGGAGCTGCTTTAGCTGGTTTTGTTTGTGTCCTCTAAAGAAGACGATGACGGGGAGGGGGTGGACTGAAGAAGACGATCTTCAGGGGGACGGGGGTCCTGTTGTTCAGCTGCTTGATTTTTTTTAGTCTCTTAGGCCCTAGCCCCTTTCGGATTTTTAAGCATCCCTTTATATGTAGAGTCTAGGTTTATGTGTATTTTTGTGTATTTTGCCCATTAGTCCCTAGGTCTTTTTTATTTATTTTTGCTCCAAAGAAGAGTCTAGAAGGGTCCCTAAGCTTAATAGACTAATCCAAATTGGGCCACGAACTGGGCTCTAAAACTCTTAAAATTGTGATCCAATACCTTAATTGACTCCTTTTAAAATAAGATAAAAATACTACACAATCCAAAGCTAATCCTAATTAATTAAACTAAACATGAAACTTTTTTGTGTTTTCGAAATTATATAAAGATAAAAATAAGGTACTTTTTTGGTATATTATTATTATTATTTTTACTTTATGAAAGGTACATAAAATAAAAATATTTTTTTTTTTGTAATTTTCATTTTCTTGTAATAAAATCAAGTAAAAGAGTAAAAATGAATTGAAATAGCTATATTAGACCTAAATTAAATATTTACGTGCTAAAATATAAAAAATCTTGGGGAGGGTCAAAAATCACATGTCTACAACTGCCCCTCTTTGACTGGAAACGCGAAGCATTTTCGGACAAAGAACGACTAGACAAGTATTTTGACCCGACCCTTATTTGGAGAGACTAAAACTAAGAGAGAGGAGAATGTGACCGAGCCCTGGTATCTGAGTTGCCTACATATCCTTGGCTATAAAGGAATCGTGCCACGTGTAGTTCAGAGGTGAGCGAGATGATGGAGTATGCCGAGGTGGAGAGCCGGTCGAGGTGCCGTTCCGTCGAGGTTTCGGTCTGCGGTTCCAGTTATTACATCAAAAATCAAATGAAAAAGACTAACTAAACCTATCAACTACGAGTCACAGGATTCCTATCTATAAGTCTTCTGAAGCTTGATCTTGAGTCTTGAGTGGTTCTTTATGCAGACTTTAGATTCGAACCTTGTCGCTTGTTAGCTGCAGGTGTTAGCTCATTCTTCTATAGCTTTTTGGATCAAGACCGGACATGTAGTGCTTTTGACTTCCGCCATGTCTTAAGCAGTTTACATCTTCCATCAACTTCTGCATTTGGATTCACTTCTTGCCTTTCTCTTTTTTTTTTGTGACTAACTTCTGTTGATCACCTCAGACTGTTGACTCGCATTCTTGTCGTGAGCTTCTTTGGTTGCTGACTTGAATTGCAATCTGAGATACTTTTCCTTTTCTTCAGGTGGACGCCTGATTGTTGAACTTGAATTGTATTCCCGTGCTCTCCAGGTGGGCGCCTGACTGCTGAACTTGAATTGTATTCCCGTGCTCTCCAGGTGGACGCCTAATTGCTGAACTTGAAATGTATTCCCTTGCTCTCCAGGTGGGCTCCTGGCTGATGAACTTGAATTATATTCTCATGCTTTCCAGGCGGGCTCCTGATTGCTAAACTTGAATGTATTCCCTGCTCTCCAGGCGGGCTCCTGACTACTAACTTGAAATGTATTCCCTTCTCTCCAGGCGGGCTCCTGACTTCAACAAAATAGACAAAAACAAAGAAACTTTTCTGCCCCCGTTTGGGTATCTGGGCACATATGTAAGTGTAAAACGAATCACAATAACAAATATGAATAAGAATTTGAAAGCTAAAACTTGAATCGTACTCCCTTGTTCAACAGGCGGGCTCCTGATTGCTGACTTGAAATGATTCCCTGCTTTCCAGGCGGGCTCCTGACTGCTAACTTGAAATGTATTCCCATGCTCTCCAGGCGGGCTCTTGACTGCTGACTTGAAATGTATTCCCTGCTCTCCAGGCGGGCTCCTGACT